AACACAATGGAGTAATATGGATACAACAAGAGCCACTAACATCCTAAGACACTACACTATCGGACTAGCCTACTACGACCTAGCCTGCAACCCTAATGAAGTAATATGGACGCAATTGAAAAGCCACTAGCAGCGTAAGACAAAACACATTCATGCCTCATACCTCCTAACCTACAACCTTAATGCTCGCCCTCCACAACTTCCTATAAAAGGGTATGTCCTCGGGAATCTGAAACCGCTCCAGGTCCATACTAAGCACACATAATAAAGCTAATATGTAAAATATCATAATAGTTATGGAAGGTCTGAACAATATGGTCAAAACTGCAAAAATCAATGGATGGATTAAAGGCTTTGAGGTATCAAGAATTGGAAACAACAACCTGGAGCTTACATATTAGCTTTATTCTGTGTGCTTAGTCTGGAAACAACAACCTGGAGATTACACATCTTCAATATGCTGGATAGACCCTAATTTTTTATGACGCAAAAGAGGAGCAGTTGAGATATTTGAGAATTATCCTGGTTTTGTTTGAAGGTATCTCAGGACTCCACATCAATTGGAAAAAGAGCCACCTTTTTCCAATTAATGTAGTACCTGAGATGGAGCAACTATCACTAATACTGGGAGGTGTAGTAGGATCCCTTCCTGCTATCTATCTTGGCATGCCTCTAGGTGCTAAGTCTAAGTCCAAGGAGATATGGATGTCATTGAAAAATGTAAGAAGAAGTTATCCAGATGGAAAGCACAATATCTATCTATGGGAGGGAGACTGATTTTGATCAATTCAGTACTTGACTCACTTCCTACATATATGGTGTCACTTTTTCCCATCCCTGAAAGTGTAATTCAGAGACCGAATAGACTCATAAGATCTTTTTTTTTGGCAAGGAAACCAAGAAAAGCTTATGGAGATCTAAGATTACAGAAGTGGTTACTAGTTGGGATGAAGTTGAAACTAGAGCTGGAAACAGAGATAGATGGAGGATTGTCCCTGCATGTATATGGTGGACAATCTGGAAGGAGAGGAACTCTAGGTGTTTTGAAGGCGATAGCAATTCAGTGCAGAAGATCAAACTGAATTGTGTTCTATTTTATTTTTGGTGTAAACAGAAGTGGCCAGAAGATACTGTATCAATCATAGAAGTTTTAGAATACTGCTAGGATTGTAGATCAGTTAGTCTTTCCTTTTGTTTTCTTGTAAGTATGGTTTCAGTACAACCTATGTACTGTTATATATTAATACACACAAATATTACCATCTCAAAAAAAAGAAGCATAAATTATAGAGGACATATTTTTTTCGGTTTCGGTTTTCCGGCTTATTCGGTCGGTTTGCGGTTAATGTTTTCTATAATTTCGGTGTTCGGTTCGGTGCTCGGTTTTACAACTTCGATTTTCGGTTAAACCGAAAAACCGAAGTTTTCATAGAGGACATAGTTTTCTCGATGGGCTACCCACAGATTGGGAGGGGCATATGGACAAAGTGAATCAGCTGCTTTCAAAGATTCCTCATTACAATAAGGAGTCAAGACATTATGAGTTAGATTTTAGAGATAGAGGAAGAGCAGGACTCAGAATCCAGAGCTCAGTTAAGAACTTTCAAAGCTGTGCTGTACACTGTAAATGGAATTTCTGGAGCCTTTTGTTGTTCAACCTCTGAACAGCAAGTCATTGAATTGACTAAGTGTGTTCAGCAAGGCATCACGTGAAGTGGAATAGGAATCATTATTCATTGTTCAAAACCGACCGAATTGAACCGAAAATCGACCAAACCGAATTAGCAAAAACCGAAGAAACCGAACTAATTTTGGTTCGGTTATTGGTGCACCAAATAGAAAACCAAAAATCGAACAAACCGAACCGAACTTCATAAAAACCGAACCGAACCGGCCGACGTCCACCCCTACTTCCTCCCTTCAAGATGGTTTGGGCATACGAAGAGGAGAAACACAGATGCTCCGGTGGGGAGGTATGAGAGGTCGACCTTGGTTGGTCTGAAGAGGGTTAGAGGTAGGCCAAATAAGTACTGTGGAGAGGTAATTAGGCAGGACTTGGCGTTGCTCCAACTCACCGAGGACATGACCCTTGATAGGAAGGTGTGGATGTCGAGAATTAGGGTATAAGTTAGTAGGCACTAGGTAGTCGAGTGTGTCTTCCTCATACCGGTAGTATTAGTAATTAGCCTTATATTCGGTTATTGACAATCTTTATTACTATACATTTTCTTATTATCTTGCTGTTGATACTGCTTGTTCCCTTATTATCTTGATGTTGTTAGTGCTTGTTTTCTTAGTAACACTCTGGAAAATTTCGAAGTACTTAAGTGTAAAGCCCGGTAAAATTTATAAAAAAAATAATGTTTCATGGTGCCGAACTAAGTTTAAGTGTTTGAGGATTATAGCGGCTCGGACGTTTTGGGTTGAACAATGCACCGGAAAGTAAAGGAAAAATTTTGGCGGAAAAACGCGTTTATGCGACCGCATAATCACTCTGCGGGCCGCATAATGGCCGCAGAAGTGAGCAGGAGAGGGCCATTCTGGAAGCAGCTATGCGGTCGACTATGCGACCGCATAATCACTCTGCGGGCCGCATAATGGCCGCAGAAGTGAGCAGGAGAGGGCCATTCTGGAAGCAGCTATGCGGTCGACTATGCGACCGCATAACAGTTATGCGGACCGCATACACAGACAGATTTTTGATCATTTTTGTCAGCGATTATGCGACCATATGCAGTCCGCATATCCATTATGCGGTCGCATATGCAACCGCAGAATCGTTCCGGAGCTCCATTTTTTGGGTTTTTAAAACCCGACCCTATTTCGTTAAATACACTCTTTGGGCCATTTTTGAGCTATAATTTGATATTTTAGAGTGAGAGAGAGTGCCCTAGAGTGAGAAGGTGTTCCTCAATAATTGATTATTCAATTCTTGCTCAAGTTTTGGAAGATTAAGAAGGGAAACTCACTAGGTCTTCATCCTAGAGGTAAGATTCTACACCCTAACTCTCAATTTCGAATTTTGTCTAGAAATGGGTAATTAGCAAGAAAATTGTTGGGCATGAGAGTTGTTTATTTTACATGCATGTGATATCAAGGGGTGTAGGAAGATTGTTGAACTAAGCATGGTAAATATTGGGTTGTGGGATGATGGAATTCTTCATAATAGGACCTTGGAACCTTAATGCACACTTAGTGTTTGATAAAATGCTCAAATGAGCTAGAACCATGATCATCTTCCTAATTTTGGTACTATTTGTCATATTTCTAAAATAGATTGAAGTTGCTAAGAATTCTGGAATATTTCAAGTGTAAGGAAGTTCAAGGGAGGTATGTTGGCTAAACTCTTCTTTTAGAATTGGAATTCCCATTGTCCTTGTAAGTTACAAGATGTTGATTACAAATCGAGTATTCCGATAAGTTTTGTGATAAAGATATATGTTCAATTCGTGTTTCAAATGCTCTTTATCATATTGCATTATAAATTGAGGATGTGTTCCAAACTATGGATTGTGTATCCACATGTTATAATTTCAAGTCATGATTTATGTGAAAGTTATTATGCCAAGTTGTGTAGAGATTGTGGTACACCTCCACCCGCATATATTGGGGTGAGGCGGCATGACCGCTTTGTGTGGGGATTATGGTACAGAGATTGTAATTGTGATACATCTCCACCCGCATATATTGGGGTGAGGCGGCATGACCGCTTTGTGTAGGGATTATGGTATTGTGGGACTGCACCTCCACCCGCATACATTGGGGTGAGGCGGTACGACCGCTTTGTGTATAGTTTTGGTATTGTTATGGCACCACCACCCATACATATATATTGGGGTGAGGCGGCATAGCCGCTTTATGTTGGTATTGGTATATGCGATTCATTTCCACCCGCATACATTGGGGGTGAGGCGGTATAGCCGCTTTGTGTAGGTTCTTGGTACTGTGGTTATACATCCACCCGCATACATTGAGGTGAGGCGGCGGGGCCGCTTGAGTAGAGTTGTGGTATTGTACTTACACCTCCACCTGCATACATCGGGTGAGGCGGCGGGGCCGCTTTGTGTGAAGATGGTTACAGAGGATCTCATCTTAAATCATATAAATGATAGCTTGCTCTGGTTTAAACGGTTAGCTATATCATGCTATTGTCGCCCTGATTCATCATATTCATATTGTATTTCTAAATTCTTAAATTGGTGTTTGGTTTTCATACTATTCGACGGTACTAACGTCCCTTTTGCCGGGGGATATAGCCGGAGCCTTGTTGCCGGCATTATCATTGTACTCTTCCTTATCTATAGAGGCTCCGTAGACATAGTGTAGGTTGTATAATGGTGCTGGTGAAGTTAAACTCGTGTGTTGTGCTTGAATTACTATTTCCACTTCAGATTATGAAAAATGTGTTTGGAATTGAGACTTTAAAATAAAGTAACTGATGGTAAGAAATTGGTGTTGCAACATGATCACTATATTGGTTGATTAACGAAAACATATATATTCTCTTTATTCATGAATGAATTTGGGTAGAAGGAAATCTAATAGGCTTGCTCGGCCGGGTTCACTCGGTTGAGCGCCGGTCGCGCTCCTCGGTTTTGGGGCGTGACATTCTTATTATTTTGTTGTTGGTATTGCAGGTTGTTACTGCTTTCTTTTTCTTTCTTTGAGTCGGGGGTTTATCGAAAACAACCTCTCTACCCTCAAGGTATGGGTAAGGTCTGCGTACACACTACCTTCCCCAAACCCCACTCGTGAGATTATACTTGGTTTTTTGTTGTTGTTGTTGTTGCTTCCTTCAAGAAATTTTATTGAAGATCAATGCTCAATTATTGTAGAAGAAATAATTTATTGAGTGCATGAACAGCAGGATCAGTTTTAAGTAACAGACTAGCAAACAGAATAAAGCTAACATGTAGAATATGCATAAATTATAAAAGTAGCAAAAGTGGACCATTTCATTAGCTCATATAAGTGCTGCCAGAATAATAAGCTTCCTTCCTTCAAGGAAGTGTGCAGAAGATCAATGTCTCAATTATTGTAGAAGAAACAATNGAATCCCAGCAAAGATGAGCCTTCCAGGTGGTTCTTTCACTTAAACTGCACATAGCAGCCAATTGCTGCAAAATGGTTGCAGACTTGTGAACCTGTTGAGGGAAACAATAGCGTCAGCAAAAAAGACCATAAAGATCTCCAGAATCATCCTACTGTAGTGTTCGAAGGAAAGTTGTTCATCACTCCTGCTTTCCTTTCAAAATGGCTTGGGATGCTTCACCAATAATACTGAGCTACTCGATCGTCATGATAATATTTCCTAGTAAGAATTAAGAAAGGATCCGATTCTAGCAAAATTGTTTCAATACTAATAAATATAAAGTTTCACTTGCGTATATGACAGCTAAAGATTAATTCAAAGATAAGACTCTAGCAGCCTACGACATACTTGCAAAATAAATGCTTTAGATACAAAGCAAACTGCACCAAACTTGATTGCTAGCACTTCTTTCTATAGTATCTCGAGGAAAAGACATGAGCTGTTTCAATTTACCCTTGACATCGCAGAAACGCCAAGTAAAGCATACATTAGGTTTGACACGAGGCCGTCACCACTGTGAGATATGACTTGTATTGCCATAGCATCAATTGAACTATCAGAAATACCAACTATGCTTTCCAGTTCAGAACCATGTGCAAGGGATTCAACCAAAGCATTTAAGCCTGTCTCCAGGAAACCTGAAGCACAATATCAAGTTAAGAGTTTCTCATTTAGAGTTAAATAACACATCATCAGATGTAAACCGTACTTTACTAAGGTCAGAATCAGAAGAGAACTTCGATATCATGAACAGACCAAGGACTAAAAAAATAGTCTTCAACAGCCGTAACAAATTATAGTTGCACAAGTAGTACATATTTCATGTAAAACAACAACAAACCCAGTAATTTCCCACAAGTGGGATTTGGGGAGGGTAAGATGTACGCAGCCTTACCCCTACCCTTAGAGGCTGTTTCCGATAGATCCTCGGTTGGAGAACGGATGAAAAACGTAATAGCAATAAGTAGGAATAACAACAAGATAAAAATAAAACCGAAGCCAAGAAAACATTTAAACTCTAGGTAGTAATAACAATCTATGAATAAAAGGATATCATACTAACACTAATGCTAGCGAACTGAGTAAGACAGAGAAACGCTCGACTACCTACTAGCCTTCTACCCTAATCTTCATTAAGGTGCACTATTAAATGGACTGCACAAGATTTGGATTACACATAAGGATCTGATCAAGCTATTGCCATGTTCTGTTATGGCTTGCGGTTCTCATTCATAGCAGATTGTATTGGACATACTTAATGTAGCTGTGAGAATGCACGAGAGAAAAATCTATTTTTATTTACAATGATACAATGAGCATTATGTATAAGACATATTACTACTCCTACTACATAAGGGACTAGGACATATTCTACTCCTACAATATATGGGACTAGGATTATTTATACATAACTATCTAACACTCCCCCTCAAGCCGGTGCATACAAATCATATGTACCGAGCTTGTTACATATGTAACTAATACGAGGATCAGTGAGGGTCTTGGTGAAAATATCTGCAAGCTGATCATTCAATTCACTACGAGTCATGCCAAACAACTGGATAACTGTGCTGAACTTACCAAATCAGACTCGGGGAGACTGCTCTAGACCATAAAGTGACCAACGCAAGCGATATACAAGGCCGCTAGACTCCTGCTGAGCAACAAACCAGGTGGTTGCTGATAAACAGAAGTTGGCCGAAAAGTCGCAGGAAAAATTTGAAAATAGTGAGACTAAGCTGAATTCCACACTACAAAATAGGTTCTAAAACACCACCAGAAAATAGAAGCTTTTCTGGAAATCACTGTTCACGTCAGAAAAAAAAAATTCACTGGAAAAAATAAAAGTTAGTCAAAATTTTATGTAATTTATATGGGTAGGCTCGGAATCACTGAACGAGTAAGTTGTCCCGAAGAAGTTGTCAAAAAAGTGGCAGGAAAGGTTACTGTAGCTCGCCGAAACCCTACTTCTGGCGGTGCGTGGATGCGCATGACTTTCTGCCGGAGCGATTGACTAGGGTTTTGTCGCCTGAACAAAATGGTAGTGTTGGTTTTCGCACAATACTTACGGATGAGGAGATAACGCAAATCAATCTTGAGTTCTTGAGTCGTCAACAAGAAAGACGCACGGTGACTGACTTTTCTATTCAGATGGGACTGGAATTTCTAGGGTTTCGGATCTCATGGTGGTACTGGTATATGCACAGTAATACTGTAGCAGTGATGAACCCCGGGAACAAGACAAAGTTGTCGGAAAATTGCACGGCAATGAGATCTTTCATCCCAGATGTCGCTGGAATGACGCACAACAATAATTTTCTCACTGAAGCTTTGATACCATGTGAGAATGCACGGGAGAAAAATATAATTTTATTAACAATGATATAATGAGCCCTATATATAATACATATTCTACTCCTACTACATATGGGACTAGGACATATTCTACTCCTACTACATATGGGACTAGGACATATTCTACTCCCACTCCATATGAGACTAGGACATATTCTACTCCTTCTACATATGGGACTAGGATTATTTATACATAACTATCTAACAGTAGCAAGTTTCAACATTTAAAGTATTTTTTTGGATCGGTAAGTTTCAACATTTAAGATTGTGGGTTTACAGATATGTATAGTGTAGTCTTGTCCCACATTGGAAGAGGAGTAATATCTCCTTGTAGTGTATAGCTATAAATAGGGACCTCTTGTATTGTATTTATCATCTAATATCAATAACATATTTTCTCCCGTGCCGTCTCACATGGTATCAGAGCATTAGTGAGAAAAGATTACTGTGCGTCATTCCAACGTTAACCGGGAAGAAATAACTTAGTCATCGTGCAATTTTTCCGGTGACCTAGGCTTGTCTAAGTGAAAGTCACTTTATGTCGGTGTTGTGCTAAAATCAACAACACCACGAGGTAGATCACCCTCCGACGACCAACCCCTGAAATGTTATCCGGCAGAAAAGCCGCCACGCTCCTCCACGCATCGGCAACAACAACTTTTCCGGCGAGGGTTCCGGCACTTTCCGGCCATTTTTTGGCGAAGTTTCTTCAGGACAGTGTGCTCTCCTCAAAATTTCGAGCCTAACCATCTAATTCAAATCAAATTCTGACCACTTATATATTTTTCCGGCGTGAACAGTGACCTTTCCGGCCATTGTTTGAAAACATTTCTTCAGGACAGCTTGCTCGCAAAGAAATTCCGAGTCTATCCATCCTGGTTACGACAAATTACAACAACTTTGGAATTTTTCGACGAGCTACAGTGTTTCCGGCACAGACCAGTGTTTTATTTTGCAAATCACTTTCTGTTGGTGTTGTGCAAAACACAGAGTGATCAGCCTCGCTACGAGTCATGCCGAACTCCTGAATAATTGTGCTGAACTTACCAAACCAAGCTCGAGGGAATTGTTTCAAACCATATAGTGACCTGCGCAATCTGCACACACAACCATTAAACTTCCTGTGAGCAAAAAAATCAGGTGGTTGCTCCATATAAACTTCTTCCTCAAGATCACCGTGGAGAAAAGCATTCTTAATGTCTAACTGATAAAGAGGCCAATGACGTACAACAACCACGGATAAAAAGAGACGAACAGATGCTACTTTAGCCACGGGAGAGAAAGTATATCCTTTTGCAACAAGACGAGCCTTAAGCCGATCAACCTGGCCATTCGGGCCGACTTTAACTGCATAAACCCAACGACAACCAACAATAGACTTACCTGCAGGAAGAGGAACAAGCTCCCAAGTGCCACTCGCATGTAAATGAGACATTTCGTCAATCATAGCATGTCTCCATCCTGGATGAGATAGTGCCTCACCTGTAGACTTAGGGATAGAAACAGTGGACAAAGAAGATATAAAAGCAAAGTGAGGTGACGACAGACGATGATAACTTAAACCGACATAGTGGGGATTAGGATTAAGTGTGGATCGTACACCTTTGCGGAGTGCAATTGGTTGACTAAGAGGAGACAAGTCCGCAGTAGGTGCAGAAGCTGATGTGGGGCGTGAATCACCTGGTCCTGATGCTGGATGTGGACGACGATGATAAGTCAAGAGTGGTGGAGCTGCAAAAGGTTGAACTGGATTATGCGGAGGAACTGGAGCTATATGTGGTGGAGCTACAACTGGAGCTTTAGGTGGTGGTACTGGAGCTATAGGTGGTGGAGCTACAACTGGAGCTGTAGGTGGTGGCACTGGAGTTATAGGTGGTGGAGCTACAACTGGAGCTGTAGGTGGTGGAGCTGGAGTGACTGAATCTCCAAAAGATGAAACTGGTAGTACCTCAGAAATATCTAAGTGATGACCTGAGCCTGTGAAGTATGATTGGGTTTCAAAGAAGGTAACATTAACAGACATAAGGTACCGCTGGAGGTCATGAGAGTAGCATCGATACCCCTTTTGTGTTCTCGAGAAACCCAGAAATACGCACTTAAGAGCACGAGGAGCTAACTTATCTGTTCCTGGAGTAAGGTTATGGACAAAACAAGTGCTTCCAAAGATACGGGGTGGAAGAGAGAACAAAGGTAAGTGGGGAAACATGACAGAGAATGGAACTTGGTTCTGGATAGCTGAAGATGGCATACGATTAATAAGATAGCAAGATGTAAGAACGACATCCCCCCAAAAACGCAACGGAGCATGAGATTGTATGAGTAGGGTACGAGCAGTTTCAATAAGATGTCTATTCTTTCTTTCAGCTACCCCATTTTGTTGAGATGTGTACGGACAAGATGTTTGATGAATAATCCCATGAGATTTCATAAACTGCTGAAATGGGGAAGACAAATACTCTCGGGCATTATCACAGAAACCCCAAATTGATTTTGAATTTCAGCGTGGAAGGTCTGGAAAATAGAAAACAGCTCAGATCGATTTTTTATCAAAAATATCCAAGTGCACCTGGAATAATCATCAATGAAACTGACAAAGTAGCGGAATCCCAAGGTGGAACTGACCCGACTAGGACCCCAAACATCTGAATGGAATAAAGTAAAAAGTGACTCTGCTCGATTATCAAGACGCCGAGGGAAATGGGAGCGAGTATGCTTACCGAGCTGACATGACTCACACTCTAGAGCTGACAAGTGAGATAAACCAGATACCATTTTCTGAAGTTTTGACAAACTGGGATGTCCCAACCGTTTATGTAATAAATCTGGTGAATCAGTAACAGGACAAGTTGTAGAAGGAAGACAAGATGTGAGTCCATGTGATTTAGCAAGGATAAGGTAATAAAGTCCGTTTGATTCACACCCGGTACCAATGATCCGCCCCGTACTGCGTTTCTGTATAAAAAACATGATCATCAAGAAATAAAACAGCGCATTTAAGTGATTTCGCTAAGCGACTAACAACTATGAGATTAAAAGGACTATTGGGAACATAAATGACTGAATCTAAAGGTAAGGAAGGAAGTGGGCTTGCTTGACCAATTGCAGTTGCCATGGTTTGAGACCCATTGGCCATTGTGACTTTTGGAAGAGATTGAGAATACGAAATAGTAGTGAAAAGAGATTTGTTCCCAAAAATATAATCTGATGCACCTGAATCAATGATCCAAGACTCAGAGGATGAAGATTGGGAGAAACAAGTCACGCTATTACCTGTGTCAACAAC